CTGGGTGTGCTCTTTGATACCAATCTCTCATTTGAAAGTCACGTGTCTAGTATCTGTAAAACCGCATTTTTCCATCTTAAAAACATATCTAAATTACGCCATATGCTCTCATTAACAAATGCAGAACAATTAGTTCATGCGTTCATGACATCAAGGCTAGATTATTGTAATGCTCTACTGGGTGGTTGCCCTGCACGCTTAATAAATAAACTACAGCTAGTTCAAAACACAGCAGCTCGAGTTCTTACCAGAACCAGGAAATATGACCATATTAGCCCGGTTCTGTCAAAACTGCATTGGCTGCCTATTAAACATCGTATAAATTTTAAAATATTGTTGATTACTTACAAAGCACTAAATGGTTTAGCTCCACAGTACTTGAGTGAGCTTTTAAAGCATTATAGTCCTTCACGTCTATTGCGATCTCAAAATTCCGGCCAGTTGATAATACCTAGAATATCAAAATCGACTGCTGGCTGTAGATCCTTTTCCTATTTAGCACCAAAACTTTGGAACAGTCTTCCTACCATTGTCCGGGAAGCAGACACACTCTGTCAGTTCAAAGCTAGACTAAAAACACATCTCTTTGACCTAGCATAATACATTATAGACCTCGATAATTCAATGTTAGGCTGCATAGATTAGGTCAGCCGGAACTGGGAACACTTCCCTTAAATCCAGATGTACTCGTTACATCATAAGAAGGATGGCATCTACGCTAACTTTAGTGTCTTTGTTTATCCCGAGGTTTTCCTGCAGCCTGCTGGATCCAGGCCGTATCCAGATCTGACGAAGGAGATTCGCCTGGACCCGATGACAATGCAGTGCTGAAGTGTCAACTATCCTCTCCCTAAGGAGGATCCCTTTCCCACTCTACAGATAAAGCATTGTTGAAAATCCGGTTCGCGTACCCCGAAGTGATAAAATAAAATTCTGTATCAAATTTATAGGCAAGACAAGCAGTTTGTTTAGGCATGGTTTGTAGGGAAATTACAAACCTGCGCACACATATTCAAACGAATATAACTATAGAATCAATTTTTAATGCGCATGTGAACGCCATTAGGTCACAGGTTCGCGTTTAAAGTCTGTTTAGAAAGAACGCCGTCATCTTAGTGGCCCCTAATGTAATAACAAATGATAATTTTGCTGGAAGTGAATCAATCAAAACCAACTTTAGCCGGAAATAACATTATTCAAAATCGCTATAAAGCCAAAACAATCTCTGTTACCGTAAATTGTATGTTTATCTCTGTAAAGCTGCTTTGAAACAATCTCCATTGTTAAAAGCGCTATATAAATGAAGATGACTTGACTTGACTTGACTTAAGCTATCTGGGATGCTTAGATGATGAAACTGATCAGGAAGATTATTAATAAAGCAATCTTTAGTGGCAAAATTGATAGGTCTAACATATTTGTAACATGGAGTCGGCTTTACAGCCTTGGCTAAATGAAATTTACACAAGACTAGATAATGATCTGAGATGGCATCGCTCTCCTGCTAAATTTCAATAGTATCAACATTGATTCTGTGTGATTATATTAAATCTAGAGTATGATTACGACAATAAGTAGGTCCTGACACGTGTTGTCTAACTCCAGTAGAGTTAAGAATATCTTTAAAGGCCAATCCCAATGCATCTCCCAATGCAACAATCAATCCTAATTGTTGGTGATTTTAATATACATGTAGATAACGAATATCTACATGTATATTAAAATCACCAACAATTAGGACTTTATCTGCAGCGAGTACTAACTCTGATAGAAAGTCAGCAAATTCTTTGATAAAGTCTGTATGGTGCCCTGGTGGCCTGTATACAGTAGCCAGCACAAATCTCAAACATGATTTATCATTTACACTATATATTGTTACATTAAGCACCAACACTTCAAAATAATTATATTTGAAACTAGATTTCTTAGTAATTCTGAAAATATTACAATAAATTACAGCAACACCTCCCCCTTTGCCTTTCAGACGAGGTTCATGTTAATAACAGTAATCCTGGGGGGTGGACTCATTTAAAGTAATGTAATTGTTTGGTTTTAGCCAGGTTTCTGTCAAACACAACATGTCTAGGTTATAGTCTGTAATCATATCATTAACAATAAGTGCTTTTGAAGTAAGGGATCGAATATTCAGAAACCCAAGCTTTATCATTTGCTCATTTGTATTATATCTGTTTTTTATTTGTTGAACATCAATTCATTGTTTACCCTTAGATGGGTTTGGAAGTGTTATGTATGTCCTAATTCGGGGAACAGACACGGTCTCTATATGATGATATCTAGGTGAAATAGTCTCTATGTGATGGGATTTATCTGACCTTGGTGACATGAGACAGCTGGCAGACGGTCAGTTTAGCCAGTCTGTCTGTTTCCTGACCTGAGCCCCAGATTGTCATGTTTGAGCTATGTGCCATATTACTATGTGACTATGTCCCACATTACTAGAGAGAATAGCAGCACCATCCCAGGAGGGATGAATACCATCTCTTTTTAAAAGGTCAGGTCTTCCCCAAAAACTTTTCCAATTGTCTATGAATTCTATATTATTTTGTGGACACCACTTAGACAGTCAGCCATTGAGTGAGGACAGTCTACTAACTATCTCATCACTCCTCCTCCTACAGTGCCTGACATCGTACTTGCGAGTTCACACACCTCTTTAACCTTAATTTTGGTGATCTCTGACTGGCGGAGTCGAACATCATTAGTGCCGACGTGAATAATAATCTTAAAGAATTTACGATTAAAATTAGCCAGCACTTTTAAATTTGCTTTGATGTCAGGCGCTCTGGCTCCCGGCAAACATGTGACTATGGTTGCTGGTGTCTCTATTTTCACGTTCCGTGTAATAGAATCGCCAATAACTAGGGCACATTCAACAGGTTTCTCAGTGGATGTTTCACTGAGTGGGAAGAATCTATTTGTTATGGTAATCGGAACGGAAGAGCGGTGTTTTTTCCCGTGACTCTCACCATCACCCAATTGCCCTGCTTCACGGGCTCTACTTCAGCCGGAACCGAACAATGTACAGAGTTCACTAAGCTAGTCGCATCCAAAGCAGTGTCTAAAGCCGTATCTAAAGCCCTTGCACTCTTACAATTAACCTTGATTAAAGTTTGGATGCGTGTCTCTAGTTCTGAAATCTTCTCCGTCAGCCTGACTATCTCCCTGCATTTATTACATTTAAATCCTATGCTGACAGAGAGGACTATGCTATACATGGTACATGAAGTGCAGGTGAAAAGGAGAAAATGACATGACTCACCGTGTTTGTTGACTGATCCAACTCACCTATGTTGTTTGATGAAACTCGTAAAAGGCGCGTGCGAGAAAAAATAAATAAATAAATAGAGAGTGCACGGATGGCACGCTAACAGGCTGGCGAATAAAGTCAAGTCAAGTCATCTTCATTTATATAGCGCTTTTAACAATGGAGATTGTTTCAAAGCAGCTTTACAGAGATAAACATACAATTTACGGTAACAGGGATTGTTTTGGCTTTATAGCGATTTTTGAATAATGTTATTTCCAGCTAAAGTTGGTTTTGATTGATTCACTTCCAGCAAAATTATCATTTGTTATTACATTAGGGGCCACTAAGACGACGGCGTTCTCTCTAAACAGACTTTAAACGCGAACCTGTGACCTGATGGCGTTCACATGCGCATTAAAAAATTGATTCTATAGTTAAATTCGTTTGAATATGTGTGTGCAGGTTTGTAATTTCCCTACAAACCATGCCTAAACAAGCTACATGTCTTGCCTATACATTTGATACAGAATTTTATTTTATCACTTCGGGGTACGCGAACCGGATTTTCAACAACGCTTTATCTGTAGAGTGGGAGAGGGATCCTCCATAGGGAGAGGATAGTTGACACTTTTTTAACACTGAATTACTAGCGTGTTGTGCTACCAATAACGATTTAGAAGCTAGCGATGTAAGGTTAATGTGTGATGTTGGGTAAGCTATATTTATCAGTATAAACAACAAGGAATGATAGTAAATAGTAGTGATTAAAAACAGAAAGATATACGAAGCTTACAGACACAAACCAACGCAACAGCAGCAGCAGCAGCAGCAGCAACGAGGCAGACCGGAGCAATCGAGCAATTTCCAGTTTTCAGCGACATGTGTATGTTGACATGTTTATGTATGTTTAGAACATTAAACACTAACATATCCCCCCCTCCCAAATAAATATTGAGCAAAACATTCATATTTGGTCTCCTTTCAGTCAGTTAGTCAGAAGCAAAGCATACTGGGAACTAGAAATCTGTCGTAACTCATTCTGTGAATGTGTGTGTATATACAGTATATGTGTATAACATACATTCACATTCATATGGGAACATGTATGTGCAATATATGTACACAATAAAGGATAAAACTTTGTGAATATTACATGTAATGCTAATTTTGTCTTCATTTATAAATATTTTACATGTATTAATAGCCATACATGGTCAATGCATATATTGCAGTATATTGAAAAACATAAGCACTAGTTTCCCATATATGGAAATGTATTATATAATATATTGCATTATATTTTGCAGTATAATCCCATATATTTTTGGTCTGTAAGGGATAAAAACACTTAGTCTGTCAAATTTAGCCATTTATATAATTTAGCAATTTAAATACAATTTAGCTCTTGCCATAATATGCTGTTAGCTGCTGTTATTTTAGTGTTTTTAATCTTGTCTTTTGCCATTAGGAGTTTTAAAAATTGTCTGAGCCTGGTCATTTCTTTTTGTTTGAAGTTTAATAGGAGAAAGGTGGCAGTTTTCTGTGTCTGGAACAGCATTGTCGATAAAATAAAGTAGGCCATTGTGGTGCCGCAACTGCTCTCTGATCTCTGTAAACGTTGACTGAGCACATAATGAACAGCCTCTGTGATTGTGCATAGTGCATATGCAATGATACAATCTCAACATGTTTATGTACACTTATCTACAACTGTTTCTGTTGTGAACTTTAGGCAGCATAAACCAACGGCCTCCCTGCAGCCCCACTGTGGCTCCGCCCCTTCACTCCGCAGACTGCCTGCGCCACGGAAACAGCAGCGATGCACGGGCTGTGAGAGCCGTCTGTCTGCTGATGGGTGGAGCAGCCGCGTCCTCAGCGCTGGGCTACCTGAACTCCTGTCCACCTGCCGCCTCTAACCTGGCTGTTCATGCTCCTGAAATCACTCACTCCACAGGTTTCTCTGAGATGGGGGGAGGCAGTTCGTACCATGCTTGCAGCCAAGCCATAGAGTCGCCACACATTAACAGCTTCGACTTTGAGGGAGACTCTGATTTTGATGCTTTCGACTGTGGGGGGTTTGCATTTTAATGGAATTTGTTTACGTTATCCACAGGGTTCACACATTCATGGAAAAAGGTGGAAATGTTAGGGAATTTGAAAATTGTTCCCAAACATTTAAAAAGTAACGGATATTCCTGTAGTGAATATATTTAACTTTGAAATATTTACTAAATTTTAAATAGCTCTTTTGTGAGTGTGAACACAATAGTTTTAAAATAATTATCCGGTAATAAGGGGAACTTGAAAAGTCATACAAACCCATTGATCATAATATGTGCAAATGCTGTTTACAATGTTTGTTTGATTATCTATTTACAGTAGAAGACAGTAAACTATGTGATTTAGAACATGCAAAGATGCAATTGCGAAGATGCAACGTTGGAAAACAAAGCCTATTTTTAAGACATTTTTTTTTGTTGCATTGTGACATTTATGTAAATTTAGCACCTTCCTGTCATGCCCACGGACTTTTATACAAATACACATTCTTATATTTTGCTTTTCATTTTAATATGAAATATGACCAAGAAATGCCCTAGCCAGGTTTTGTGAGGTTCATCCAACTGTGTCCCTTTTAACTTCTCTATGTTGTGTTATTGTTTCATGTTTAATATACATTATCTTCCCATATAAAATAATACTAATAAAAAATTTGCTGTTTCTTAGAACTCTCAACCCTTTTTTTAAATTCTTATGTAGAATGTTAGGGGTCAAAGTTTATTGAAAACTTTTCAGACGTTTGTGGATACACTTAGTTTATGACTACAAAAATATATATTATCACTATTGTCACTGTAAAAAAAAGACTTTATTGTGTTCAACGTTTTTGAAAATTTGCCATGTGTTCTGGTCTGATTTCTGCTAACTTTGCATATTTCTAATATTTCTATAAAATTTGTTATATTCATCTTTACACTCTTTCCCTCTTTCTAAAGTCCCTCTTTCTTTTCTCACATTCTTTCTCTGTTTGTGTTATGGAGAGCTTGTGTAAGTGAGAACATACGTAGGTGAGTGTTTATTAAACAGAAATATAACGTAACATCATATTAAGTGTGCCAATCCATCTGTCATTCAACTAAATGACTCGGCCAAGAGTTAAACAGAGGATGACAACGCAGATTTGCTGGAGACAGTAAACTGGGGGATGGATGCTAATTACTTCATGTTACATTTAGCTCACAAGTGTGTCACTAAAAAAAAAAAAAAAATTCTTAAAAATAAATGATTCCTAAGTATGTCTTGTTTTTCAGTACAAACATCTGAACATTCTTAAATCAAGACACATTTACTTGAAAAGCATAATTAAGATAATAAGAGTTGTTTTCTGAAAACAATACTTGCTTAAAATTCCATGTGGGGCCCAAATGGGTTTAACCTGGGCTATCTAACTGGGGCCCAGCCAGTTCTGTTTTCATGTAGGCCCCGCAGAATCACTGAAGGAAAGAGGAACAACAAGAACAGAAACTACAACTGACTTCCAGCCACAGCCTTAGATGAAATCAACTGAAGATAAAAGAAGACATTACATCTCTTAAGATCTCAGCAGAGGAGGATTAAACATCTCCACAAACAGCATTACCAGCTTCACTTATTACTAACAGTTTGACTTTATTTCTGCCATTCGTCTACAGAAGTTCTCATTGAGAATTAACATCTTTAGATGTTGATGTTTTAATAAAAATAATAGTTTGGTTTGGTGTCACCATTATGGTGGTCAGTGTGTTTGATTTAGTTGGGCAGTTTGACTCTTGACTTTATAATATTTTAGATTTTCTTTGGTTTCTGTAACTGTGTTTGTTATGGCAAGAACAGCAGGGGGAAAATGTGACCTGATACAGTCAGCTGCTTAATGATAAGAATATAATCATCATGTATTGGCTTTTTTCACTTATATTATGTATTATTATACTGTGCTGGTTCTCTTACTGTAAAATACAACATAACATAATAAACAGTTATTATATTTTTACAGTAAGTGAACCAGCACCAGTGTTTCCCATACATTCATTAATTTGTGGCGGCCCGCCACAATAGCAACGCTGACCGCCACGGATTGATTTTCAAATTTTTAACTATTTAATATGGGTAAATAGTATTTTATTGTAGAGCTGCGCGCAGCTAGCTTGCTCCCTCCCTCTCTCTCACTCTCACACACACAAACTGACAACGGAGGCGCGCGCGCGAATATCCCCTCCTCCTCCTCGAGCACGATCTGCATCAAAACATGAGCATGCGTAGGAGGATGGTGCTTATTCCCCAGCGAAGAAGATTCCAGAAATCAATCCGGACCCGGAGTTGAAAGGTTAGTATACGCACAACATAACTCTGAGAAGTTAGTCTATGTTAAACGCTGTCGCGTTTCCATTACAGATTTTTTCTAAATATCGATAAAAAAACTATTGCGAAATGACGGCGCGACTAAAACGTCCTTTTTTTCCTCTCGCGATCAGTCATTCCAAAAATCATGGCAACGGACGTTGGTAGGTTTATTTCACAGCCACCGCACTAGACATTATTATCATTAGCCTATTAATGTAAAGAGACGTAGGCCGCGTGTTACCCAAGCATTAATGACAAGGAAAGACCCTTATACTGTGAGCGGCACATATGAGGTGTTTTCTCACTCATTTCTGCTCCGAGCTCTTGATTGTGGCATTTCTTTAAGGTTTAGAATCCAGTATTCCTGTAATTATTTTGTCTTTTATGAATTTAATAAAGAACTCTGTCTCGTATTCTGTCCAAACACACTGCGCTTTCTAAGTCAGGTGACTGTAAATGCGCAAAAACTGTTTCCATTGCAGTTTTGCAAAAAAAAAAAAAATCTGAATTGCCTGAAAAACCACCTCACGCGAGCGTAAAACCTTTTTTGTGATAAATGGGAGTTTTTGCGAAATTCAATCAAATTATACATTTTATTTATTTTAGTGCATTTTGTGGGAATTTTTGTTGTTGTTGCTTTGTCCTTAGGTGAAAACAGACCTCCGAAACCAGCTTCAAGGAGATCACCTGGCTGCCTGCTTGAGGATCTCCATCAATGGACCCTGTCCTGAGGCCTTCCCATATGATAGGGCATTGGAATATTTTTTCAGAAAGTCCCGTAAAATTAAATGTGCAAACAAAGGGTGCAAAATTTGCAACAAGAAGTCTGTGGAGCAGTCATAGAAAGATACGTGTCAATAAAAATATATGATATATTTAACCCTTTTGTTGTGCCTTAATTAACCCCCATACCAGCCCCCCACACCAACCCACCCCGACCCACCCGAAAAAAACCAACCCGCCCCACCCGACACCCCACCACCGCAAATAGAATCAAATTCTGTGGGAAACACTGAGCACAGTTTAATAAAATAATCTGAAATATTTTTAAAAAACATTTTACACATCTTGAACTCCTCCAAGTCTCACTCACACAGAGACATCAAGAATCAGCGTATGAATCTCAACATTAACAACGGTGACATGTTTCATGCCGCAGTGCATTCTGAGAGCCATGGATGAGTTTTGTGTGATTCACAAAGTGTGATGCATGAAGCATGTCACCGTTGTTGAGCTTCATATGCTGATTCTTGTTGTCTGTGTGTGTCTAAAAAGCACAAGATTTTTTAAAGTGTTTAGTATACATTGTGTTTTTAAACAGGAGCACAATTATTATTTTTTTAAATTATTCAGTTTATCTGATTAAAACCCTTCTGGATCTCATGCAGTAGTAGAGTCCCAGGGTTACTATAATCAGTAGTGATGGGATGGTTGACACCGGGGCTCCGATGCTCAGACACAGTTTTCAAAGCACTATTGTATCACACACTGTATCGTGTTTTACTTCCCTATAACATAAATTGTAAAAAAACAGAAGACCGAAATTTTTTTTTTCAACTAACGACAATTACGAATTATGATCACTTTTATATTTTATATTATTGATCAATATGTGAATCCGTTGACCATTGACTAATATGTGAAATCAGATTAGATACAACGTCTCAGTTACGTATGTAACCCTCGTAGACATAGTCGACGTGTCGACTGATTGGGATCACGCTTAGAGAGCCTGTCATCTTCAAGTACTATTAAAACCAGCCAATGGAATTGGCGTACGTGACTTGCATCACACACTCCGCCCCCGCGGCGTGGATATAAATAGGGAAGTGGATGCACGCACTAGTTGTTTTTCGCTGATGAGCCGAGCGTAACTCGGAGTCAGCGGTGGTCCAGCAATAGTGGCGACGGGACTAATGTCTCTGTTCCCTCCTTCAGGGAACGAGGGTTAAATACGTAGTCGACGTGTCGACTGATTGAGATCCCACATAAAAAGCCATCTAGTGCTGCCACCTTCCAGTGCCTAGACAAAAGCCTCCTGATCTTACTGCAACTGAGGCGGGGATGGAAAGGCTTAGGCAGGGAAGTCACTGCTGTTCCTACAGGACCACTGGGAAAGCGTTCCCTGAACATGGAAGGAAGGGACGCTGCGGAAGCCACATCCTGCCCGAAGGGAGGTAACGTGGAGAATACACATATGGACTGGGTGGAAGACTGGGCAGTAAAACATATGTAATGTCACTGGGGTGGCTCCAGCCTATGACAGGGGGAGACTCAACCGGACAGTGACGGCAGAGCCTGAAGACACGGGCTCGCCGCAGGGAGCCGTACCGTAGAATAAAACACATATATGATTGCCGTAGGGATCACAGCATATGGACCCAGCCTAACACAGGTTCCACCAGTGCATACGAGTGATAGGCCTGGCTTTGGACGTTCCACCACGTCCGTTGCCGAAGGGTATTGCAGGAATTCGACAGGGTTCGGCTAAATAAGGGGAACTCAATTGGAGCAAAATTACGCACGTATCCAGTCTATAGGAGGGGAATGGCGCAGCAAGCCGACACAACGAACCGGGCTTACAGTGAAACTGGCTTCATATGAAGGGATCCCACGGGAAGCAGCAGTTCGACACATAGGCTAGACTTCTAGCGGACGTGATGGGTGTCGCCCAGCCCCCAAATCTATTAAACATCTGTTTAGCGAGGCACTCTGTGTCAACGCCTAGGAGGGAGAAATATCCTCACTTAGGAGGAGCTCACCACCTAGGTGGGCACATGCACCTTGGGAACTTTCTCACCAAGATGAAGGCAACCACATGTAGTGGGCCAAACTCTGCTTGGAAACAGCCTTCCCTTCTGCTGGTTTCTGTAACAGACAAGAGCCAGTCTGAGGTCCAGGCTTTGCATTCTGTGCACGTATAACCGCAATGGAGCGGACGGACAGGGAAAAGCCAGGGCTGGGTCTGCCTCCTCCAGGCAGTGCTTGCAGGTTCACCACCTGGTCCCTTTAAGGGAGAGCTAGGAACCTTGGGCAC